TGTGTGTGTGTGTGTGTGTGTGTGTGTGTGTGTGTGTGTGTGTGTGTTTCAAGACAGGGTTTCTCTGTAGCTCTGACTGACCTGGAACTCACTCTGCAGACCAGACTGGCCTCAGACTCAGAGATCCACCTGCCTCTACCTCCCAAATACTGGGATTAAAGGCATGGGCCACCATGCTCAGCTTATATTCCTTCTTAATAAAACATGTACTTGATTTCTAAAGTTATTTATTTATTTACTTATTTATTTATTAATTATATGTAAGTACACTGTAACTGTCTTCAGACACCCAAATGAGAGCATCAGATCCCATCATAAATGGTTGTGAGGCACCATGTGGTTCCTGGGAATTGAACTCATTACCTCCAGAAGAGCAGTCAGTGCTCTTAACTGCTGAGCCATCTCACCAGCCCTACCTGATTTCTAAAAAGGTTTTTGAACCCTATCTGCAATAAGAAATTCTTTCTTGGACATGACACACTCACACGCCTTTTTCTATTGATGTTTTGTCAACCCTTTTAGGATTTTTTTCTCTTACCAATTTTTAATATTTCAGTTGAACTCTTAAAAATACTAAATATTTTTTGTCAACCACCTGCCCCCATCCCAGGTTCTCTTCAAAATCAAAGTCTGTGGACAAATCTGATGAAGAACTCCAGTTTCCCAAAGAGTTCATGGAGGACTGGAGCACAATGGAGGTGTGTGTAGACTGCAAAAAGTTCATTTCAGAGATCATCAGCTCAAGCCGGCGCAGCCTGCTGTTGGCCAACAAAAGAGCCAGGTTAAAAAGGAAGACACAATCCTTCTACATGTCCTCGGCGGCGGGCCCCTCGGAGTACTGCCCTTCAGAGCGGACTATCAACGAGATCTGAGCCCTGGTCCTTCCCGCTCTTCTGTGTGCAGAGACGGGCAGTGCAACAGTCCTGCAGACTCTTCCCAGGGGTTTTCCTTCACAGGCTCCGTCTGCAGCAGGTCAGGCTTGGGCTGTACCTGAGACCCAGACTCAAGGCTGTGTTCGTATCAGCTGATGGTATGAGGCAGGTCAGCTACTTGTTCATTTGCACTCAGAAAGCCTAAAACTTGATTTTGTGTATGTGAGTAAGGAAGCCAGAAACTTCCTTAGTTCGGTTCCTCAATGTTCTTTGGATAATTTCCTGACTAAGGCAAAAAGCTTATGTGTGAAGTCAGTCTGACTGAGTGTTGATGTTAGCACACTTGTAAGCAGTAAGTCATATTGGCATTCCACTTGACAGTGTTCCTATCTCATGTACATAATGTCCAAAGCCCTGCCACACATCGGCTCCCTGGGGGTGGGCCAGGTTGACTGTCATCTCACAGCACAAATCTTGAAGGCCTTGCTGATAATTCTCTTTGGGGCTCTGGCTGCATCCAGTGCAGAACAATCAAGTTAAGCTGTACACCGCACGGGTGGCCATTTTTCTGAGCTCAGGGTCTGCCCAGGCCCAGGCCTCAGTGTTTCCTGAGCTGCTACCAGGCCTTCATTCCTTATTGTGAATGTATTATGGTTTTGAATAGTTTTATAATACATGTCTAAGAATTAAGATTTTGTGGAAGTCTGAGGAAAAGGGAAGATTAAAATTTTGTCAAGCAGTTGAGCAGGTTTTGGTTAACTGATTGGAAGCTGTAACAGCAGGGGTGCCAGCTCATACGTTTTCACCTACATTTTCCATAACTTTATAGTGTGGCCATCGTGACTAAATTAACCACAGTTTGGTATCTGAGTCTCAAACTGAAGTTTATTTTTATAAATGAATTTTAAAAGAAAAACCTTGGCTGTTTTAAAATCTCAAGAAAATGAACCTGCTGCCTGCATAATTTTTTGATGCTTTTTGCACTAGTTGTCTTGTAAATGTCACTGCGTTTCTGATGAAGGGCAACTGACAGGTAGTATGGTTTACCTGAAACTCCTCGGCTCCTGTGACACACATAACATGGGCTGCCCCTCATTCCATATGCTTAGAAATAACCGGTCAATCAGACTGCCACTGATGTTTGGAGAATGAACTAAAGCACATGCACAGTGTAATTCCTGACAGCTATAAAAACCACCCTCATAATCACCACTGATGACAGCTCCGTTTAATAAAAGGCATGACAGTTGCATTTCATACCAACATCAAGATAGAGTAACATTTCCCATTAAATTGACAGCAACACCTCAGAAATGCTCCAGTAGTCATTTCTAATGCACTGAAATTTATAGTTTAGTAAATGGCTTTAAATTACTTATACTGACGAAATAAACTTTACCAGTTGACTAACATAATGCATGTTAGTAGTTCATCTGTACTGCATGTAGAAGTGGGCCACCAGAAAACCCTTACATTCCAGCTGGTGTTAAGTCTAAGAGCTGTAAAAATTGCAGTGTGTGAATCCCATTTATACAGTTTTCCCTGAAACCACTAGAACTTTATACCACAGTTAGGTGGGACCACCACTGCTATGGCCCTAGGCATACATTTTAGAATGATTTCCTGGAAGGAAGCAAGGAAGATGGTACATACCTGTGTGGGTTTATAAGCATGCGTATAGGGTAACATGCTTCTGTAAAATGGTGACTAATTAGTGTTTGACTTCCCACGTAAGACACTGACTCCACCCCCACAAGTGAAAATTTTATTCACATTCACAAATCAATGATCTAGTAAGTGTCACAGATTTGACCTCATTCCCTCAGGCTCACAGTACTGTGTATAGTGATTTGAGCATTATGACCCCTTTTACCAGAATATCAGGATATAAATTTTTCAGCACATTAATGATGTGTCAAGAGTTCAAGTGTATGCCATCCCCAGTAAACATCATGCAGAAAGTAGTGGGAAAAAAGGGCACGTGACAAGATAGAAATTATAGAAATAAAGTTAGCATTGTTTGGGAGACACCAAGAAAGATATGTGCATTTAACTGTATCTTGTCTATAAGACTGGCTCTTCCCCCCACCAGCACTCACACTAAGCTAGGATTCCATAGGCTAGGGCTTTGGGCCAGGGAGCTGGTGCTGCCTGTGGGGCTTGCTTCTAAAGTCCTAGCTTACACAGTTAGGGCTTCCTGTTCCTCCAGGAACCTTGTGTAGGACCCTGTGTCCTGCTTCCTTGCTGTGTGGCTCTCTTAGTTCAACAGTTGTTTATGGCTGACCCCAGAGTCTGATGCTTCTCCTGGATACATCTGTAAGTCCGTCCTGACCCCTCCAGGCGTGAGCACAAACCATTGGTCCCATAGACCTTGAAGTCAGAGTATGTAAAAATGCTTGTAAATATTGTAACATACTCATTAATATTTGAAAGGCACTCTGTCATTGGCAATGGAAATTAATTCTCCCAAGATAAGTAAAAATTAAATAATTGATTTGCACATTGACTTAATGACCTTAATTACTTGATTTCAAGTCTCAGCCCTTTAAAATTAAACCCAAAAGTTATTATATAGTAATTCTAAAAATGATCTGTTTTGAAGAGATGTGTGGTTAGTACCATGAACTCACACCATGAAATCTGTAAGGTTTTTATTTTTCTAACTGTATTAATAGAGGACTGAACTTCAAGTGAATGTAGGACACATGGAAGTTTTAAATTATGTTGCTATTTGTTCAAATAAAACAGAAAATTTTGCCGGGCAGTGGTGGCGCACGCCTTTAATCCCAGCCCTTGGGAGGTAGAGGCAGGCGGATTTCTGAGTTCGAGGCCAGCCTGGTCTACAGAGTGAGTTCCAGGACAGCCAGGGCTACACAGAGAAACCCTGTCTCGGAAAACAAAAAACAAAAAACAAACAAAAAAAAACAGAAAATTTTGCACATTGAAGGACCATGAAGAAATGTATCCCGCCCCCCTGGCTTCCCACATGTGTAAGCGGAGGATGGCTGACACTCCAGGGAAATTGACAGTGCTGAGTGTGCTCCATGGAGTATTTCAGCCAGGCGTGATGCTGCATACCTTAGTTCCAGCATTCTGGAAACAGAGGCAGAAAATCTCTGTGATTTCAGGGCCAGCCTGGTCTACACAGTGAGATACCTTTTCTTTTTTTTTTTTTTTAAGGTATTTTATTTTAGAACTTATGAAGGGGGGAAATAAACTGGCTTTCCTCGTACCTTCTGTGTTGAATTCCTACTGTAAAATGGTGATGTCTTCCAGGAATTAACAAGCTTTTAGAAATCACTCAGGTTTTAAAGATAAGGGAGCTACTTGCAGCAGCAGTTTAAAACTATTTTAAACCCAGGTGATGGTGATACACACCTTTACTCTTAGCACTCAGGAGGCAGTGGCAGGTGGATCTCCAAGTTTGAGGCCAGTCTAGTCATCAGAGTGAGTTCTAGGACAGCCAGGGAGAGAGACCTTGTCTACAAAAAAACCAACTAACCAAACAAAATACTTTATGAATATAGTCCCCAAGAACCATATAAAACAAAAAATAAAACAGTTCCACCTACCATCAGAGGCTGCTGTTAGGAAGCCATGTGACTAAAGAAAAGGGACATTGCCAGGGATGGTGGAACACTGATCCCAGTGTGTGGGGTGTGGAAGCAGAAGGATCTTGAAATTAAAGTTATCCTGGGCAGCATGGCCGTGGTGCAGCAGCCGTGGTCCTCTGGCTTCCCTTCACTGCATGCATCCACTATGCTTTTCACCCCTCTGCCATCTACGGGAGAGAGGGAAGTGCCTGTGCATGAGCAAGTCTCAGGGATCATCGTCAAGAAGGCTGCCCACATCCTTTCTTTTGGGAAAGAGTCTATCATTGTTTACCAACCAGACTAGGCTGATTGTCCATGGCTTTCTATACTTTCTGCTGCTTCCATTGATACCTACCTTTAATCTTACCAGGGTGGTCAGATACGATACAGGATGTTATGTCAGTTTTCTTATATTTGTTGGGATTTGCTTTGTTGTCTTACTATGTGGTCAGTTTTAGAGAAAACTCAGTAGCTTCTGAGAAGGAAGTGTTTGGGTGGAATGTTCTGTAGATACCGGTAAAGTTTAGTTGATTTATGATGTTAATGCCATCATTTCTCTGTTTAGATTTTGTCTCTATAACCTGTCTAATGGTGAGGAGATGTTTGAAGTTATACACTATCTCTGTGAAGTAATTTGAGCTGTAGTGGTGTTTCTTTTATGAATTTGGGGGAACTTGGTTTGAAGTCTGTTTTATCTGGTATTAAGATAGCTGCTTGGTTCCACTATTTGGAATAGCTTTTTCCAATCTGCCCTTGATGGTGAGGTGAGGTGTGTTTGTTTATTGGATGCAGCAGAAAGATGAATCCTGTTTTTGTTTTCTCTCTGCCTCTCTAGATCTGTCTATCTCTCTTCTTGGATGCAGCAGAAAGATGAATCCTGTTCGTTCTCTCTCTCTCTCTCTCTCTCTCTCTCTCTCTCTCTCTCTCTGTGTGTGTGTGTGTGTGTGTGTGTGTGTGTGTTTTCTGGAATTTGCTCTGTAGGCCAGGTTGGCCTCTAACTCACGTACATTTGCCTGCCTCTGCTTTCCAGCTGCTGGGACTAAAGGCATGCACCATCACACCTAACTGGATCCTGCCTTTTAATCCAGTCTGTTAGTATGTATTTTTGTTGTGAAACTGAGACTATAACAGCTATGGGTAGTTTTTATTGGTTCCTGTTATTTTGTTGTGGTGTGGAGATTTTCCTTTTTGATTTACTGTTCTGCAATTATATGCTCCTTTTGTCTTCTTGGGTATAGTTAACTTCTTCAGAGTGAAGTTTTCCTTCTAATGCCTTCTATAAAACTGGATTGATAGAAATCACTTAAATTTGGTCTAATCATGGAATGTTTTTCTTTCTCCATCAATTGTGTGTGATAGTTTTGCTAGGTATAGTAGTCTGGACTGGTAGTCTCTCAGACTTTGTAGAACATGCACCTAGGGCCTTCTGGTTTTCAGACTCTTCATTGAAAACTCAAGTGCTATTCTAATGGGCCTGTCTTTTTATGTTACTTGCTCTTTTCCCCCTGTACCTTTTAATATTGTTTCTTGTTCTGTACATTAAGTGTTTTGATTATTGTGTATCATGGGGTATTTCTTTTCTGATCCTATTTGGTGTTCTGCGTGCTTCTGGTACTTTAACAGGCACCTCTTATAGATTGGGGACATTTTTCTCCCTTTGGATTTTTGAGACAGGATCTTTCTACATATTCCTGGCTGTCCTGAAACTCACCATGTAGACCATGCTATCCTGGAACTCACAAAGATTAGCTTGCCTCTGCCTCTGAAGTACTGGGATTACAAGCCTGTGCCACCACGCCTGGCCAAATTGGGGAAATTCTTTGATTTTGTTAAAGTATTTTCTGTTCCTTTGACCTTAGGTTTTTTTCTCCTTTCTTTATTCCTATTATTCACGGGTTTAATCTTCTCATACTGTCCCAGATTTCCTGGTTGTTTTATGGCTGGATTTTTTTTCTTTGAGTGTCTTAGTTAGAGTTTTATTGCTGTGAAGAAGACACAATGACCATGGTAACCCTTATAAAGGAAAACATTTAATTGGGGCTGGCTTACAATTCAGAGTTTTAGCCCACTCTCTTTGTGGCAGGAAGCATAGTGATTAACAGGCAGACATGGTGCTAGAAAAAGAGCTAAGAGTTCTGCATCTTGATTTGTAGGCAGCCAAAATGACTGAGACACACTAGCCAGATTTGGGCTTCTGAGACATCAAAGCCTACACAGTGACCCACTTCCTCCAACAAAGCCAAACCCATCCAACAAGGCCTCACCTTCTGTAATGCCACTCCATTCGAACCAAGCATCCAAATGCATGAATCTATGGGGCCATACTTATTCAAATCGCCACACTGAATTATCCTTTTTTTTTTTTCTTCCAGTCTGGGTTTTCTTTAATGATTCTACTTTTATATCTTGAGGTGTTTCCATTATTTGATTCAATTGTTTTTTTCTCATGGTCTTTCATTTAGATGTTATTCATATTCTCTGTAAGGTTCCTTGAACATATTTATAATAGCTATTTCGAAGTTCTTAAGCTTCAGCTAAATCTTGTCTCAGCCTGCTGTAGCAGTGTTACCAGCTTTTGGAAGAGACATATTTTCTTGGCTATTCATGATATTTGAGGTGTTTCTTGGTGTAGATATCTGGTATCTGGTCTGGTCTTTGTTAGGTAAGGGTTCTGTTCTTTGACTGCTGTTGCCCACCCTGGATCCTAAGCACGTGTGGGATCCTTGGTAGAGACGACTTTCTCTATAGGTCTACAGGTGCCAAAAAGAAACGGAGATGGACAGGAGGAAAGGCTGGGGGGATACTGGGAAAGATCTAGGGGAACTGGGGCCAGCCACATCATGTCTGCAGGGCGTGGAGGCGGGGTAGGGTGAGGTGCTCTGCTCCTGCAGATGGGTGCAGCAGGGTGAAAAGTGAGCCTAGAGAGAGGAATGGGAGGCTGTTCGGTGAGATGAACCTCATGTAGGCCAGGCTGCCTTGAACTCCTGACTCTTGCTTCTCCTGCCCGAGCACTATGATCACAGGTGGGCAGCACCAGGCCCAGCTCTCTGTATGCAAAGTAGCTCAAGTCTGCCCACATGCACAGTGAACTGCCGGTGGTACCATAGAACAAAGCCGCATGGAGGCAGAGCAGCTGAGAGAGAGCAAGGGCCACTTGCCAACCACATCACCACCCGTGCCAGGACCTCAGCTTGGCTTTCAGGGACCTCTCTTCATCAGAAAAGAGTACAATAAATAAATGAATAGAATTAAACCTTCCTAAAAGAGGCTTCCTAGTCAGGACAGTATTATTTGAGGGAAATCTTACAGCGTATGGAGCATTGTAAAAGGGAGGCCAGTTGGAAGGTGGCATAGAAGTGACCTATTGCTGTGTAGTAAATTACTTAACAACCATGCTGAAATTATGAGCCTTCATTATAGCAAAAGTTTGTGGGTCAGTTCAGCAGCAGCCTGAGACTGTCCTTCCATGTAGAGTGATATTAGAGATGTCAGTGGACCCATTGTTATCTGAAGGCTGCACTGGGCTGCAACTCTGCTTCCAGTGTGGCTGCTTGCACAGCGGAGTGCCCTAGGGACCTGCTGGGCTCCTCAGTGACCTTACCATATGGCAGACTGAGTCACAGGCACCATCACTACATGCTTTACATGACAAAGCCCATATACATGCAAACAGCACAGCTCAGGAGAGGTCATGAGGCACAGCCTCCTGGGACCTCCTGGGACCTCCTGGGAAGTGACAGCTTGGAGCAGAATGGGACAGTGAGAATAGGAAACAGATGGATCTGAGATCTTCCCAGGGAGGTTTCCTTGTCCAAATGGCTGCACAGGAACATCAGGAGAAGGAGTCTTAGCAGGAATTTTATGTTGATGGAAACATAACTATGTATCAGTGAGGAGAGGAAAGCTGTCTAATGGGAAGAAATTGGTTTTATTTACAATGATCGAACACAGTGGGGGCCCTTAGAAAACTGGACAGCAAAGGGCCAGATGGAAAGTAGTCTAGACTCTGTGGGCCTCCATGTCTCTGTCAGACAGCCTGGAGTTGAAATTGTTTTCATAACCCTCTGAAAACAACAAAACTATTCTCAGCAGCAAGCTTGGCTTGCCAGCCCCTGATCTGGTGAAGCATGCTCTAACCAGTAACCAGCACAGAACTTGAAAGAGCACGATGGTGACCTACGTGGGTTCTGGTAAGTGCTAATTACTACTTGCTGGTCTCACAGTTGACAACTCTTACTGAAGACTTAAAGGTTAAACAAAAAGTAAAAATACTCTCACACACTATGCAAGCGCAGCCTTCAGCACCAGCAGCCCCGTGGCCCAGTACAGAGCCGCACCCTCTGTTGTGATGCTCTCAGAGCCCTTTGACGTGTGTATCCACGTCCATGTTTCTCGAATGTTCAGCAGGCACAGGCCTACTGAGTTTTTTCAGATCCCTGAAACGACCAGACACCTGGCTACCTCAAGTTCCCAGCACAATTCAGTTTCAAATCCTAGGAACACCAAGGTTCTAACAGCTGTTTTGATCCTAGGATTGTGGCTCATTGAGAGCACACCAAAGAAAAGGTGTTTAGTAGGCTCAGCCCTAAGAGGGCCCATAGGTTGGAGAGAAAATGGCAGAGAAATGAGATAGCAAACTCCCATATCAGCACTCAGGCCCACGTTTCTCTGAGTCTGCACAAAACGGTCAGGGGCCCAACTCCAAGGCCTCTCAACCCTGCCAACACTGTGCCATTTCTTAGAGACTAATGGAGCTTCCTGAACACACTGTATTCTGGGGTTTGCCTGTTAGGCTTCTAATTTGTGTTTTTCCTGTGGGTTTTGTTACTTTGGGAATTTATGGGACCCTTCAGTGGAGCATCTTGGAATACGAGGCTGTCCTCTGAGGTGTTTCTTCCAGGCACTCGAGTACTGACTGGTTGTGGAGTGGAATCTGGGAGGCTGACTTGGTACTCGAGTTTTTAAACTGACTTGTGCTAGTTTTCTCAACTTAAAATTTAAGGTGTAACCACTTATAACAGTAGATCATAAAACATTTGCTTTTATGCTACTGAATTCCCAAAAGGAAGAGTTGTGGAATCCACTTCCAACCAAAACAGAAGTTACAAAATCAAGCGGCTTTACACAGAACGAATATTGAAGACAATGACTATATTCCCTTAACTCGGTTGAACTTGAAACGAGTATTGCCTACTTTTCTCATGGCTGTGCCAGGAGGCAACTTCAGGAAAGAAGGGTTTAACACAGTCCACTGTGGCTGCAGAAGTGGTGTGGTCTGGGGAGCCAAGCAAAAAGCGGGAACCCCCTAGCCCAGTGGCTTTTGACTTCCCCCACTTTCCCATGGAGTGAATGGTACTGGCCACAGTAAGAGGAGGTGTCCTTTCAGCCAAACATCTCTAGGAATGGACTCACAGACATACCCAAGAGTGCTCCTCCTTAATGCCCTAGGCGTTTCCTACTCCCGCCAAGCTGTTAGTCAGTAGTCTAGAACCATCTCAAAGTGAAGCAGTGTCTAGGAACTGTTCCTACACAAAGCAGGAGCTGCAGTGTCCCTCTACGGCGACCACCTTACTATGGTGGCTGACCCAGTAACAGTGGCAAGAAGCCTTCAGTAGCCTCAGGAACTAAGGTCTACTAGGCTCTCTGCAGTGAGCCTCAAAGGGGACTTTTTAAGACACTGTTGTTTAAAAGTAGAAAAGAGACAATCACAAAAATAGTTACAGTATGAACTGGGTTTAATGAAGGCAAGAGACATTAACTTTCATAGGCATAGGAAAGTTCTAGAAGGGTCTAAAAACAGTGAGTGGACCATCAGGGAGAACAGAGGTCTCTACTATTCAACAGATTCAATACCTCTTTTTAAAACTACAAACATGGATTATGTGTGTGTGGTCTTGTCTGTCTGTCTATCTTAAACAACCTTGACTTAGAGATGATAGAATACCAGATATGACAGTGCTCACTTGTAATCTGTAAGAGATGGAAGAAGATGGAGACCAGCCTCATTTACAGTGAGTTGAAGGTCATCCTGAGTTACATGAGACATTGTCTCAAAACAAAAGATGGTGGTACCTCATGCTCATGTCCCTGACTGAGAAACACTGATAAAGACTACAAGAAATGAAGAACACAGAAACTCTGAGGCAGGAAGGCAATGTAGGTATGGGGGGGAGGGGCTTCAGTCTAGGACAAGCACAAAACCACCACTCACACCCCAGCAAGACCCCAGAACCCCAGGATATGGAGGGAGGGAATTAGCTGGACAGCTCTTTGTACATCACAGGAGGTTCCCACCCTCTTCAAGGGACAACCAGGCTTGTCAGGTGAACCTGTTGAGAAGACAGTTGGGACTTGACAAAAATCCCATAATGGGCATGGTGTACATACCTGTGATTCCAACCCTTGAGATGCTGAGGCAGGAAGAATGCCATGAGTTTCAAAACAGCCAGGGCTACATAGCAAGATCTGTCTCAAAAACAACAACCAAAAAGAGTCAAGTATAGCGGCCCAAGTCTGTCATCTCAGGACTTGGGAATGGGGAAGCAGGAGGAAGAGATCAAGGTCATCTTCAGTCACACTGAGAGTTCAAGGCCAGTCTTGAGTGTGAAAATCCCAGTTGCTGCTGGGAACCCATGGTGGCCTGTGTAGAGAGCTCCCGAACTGTTTTTGGATGCAGTGCATGATGGGGACCCTGAGGGCCACAGAGTAACTTCTCATTGTCCTTCACAGAGGCAAGTGGGACACTAGAAGGACATAGGGCCACCAGGAACAGAGGACAGTAGCCAGGCCCCTGGGGAAGGTTTGAGGGACCTACCCCAGCTTAGCTGACAGGGCATGAGGAAAGGGGAGCTCTCTTTTGATGGAGTGACTAGAGCCAGCACACAGAGGTGACACCCCTTCCAGAAGCAGATAAAAGCTTAAAACCAACGCAGGGGCAGTGCAGCCCAGTACTTCCCAGCGCAGTGCCTATAGCAGAGCCCAGCAGACCAGGGCTCCACAGCACTCCCAAGAAACGGGTTCGCACAAACAGCCTGGCAGAGCTGGCCCTGGGCCTGATGCTGCACTGGGAGGTTATCGTGGACAGGGAAGATTCCAGCAGATACCTCTTCCAGACTTGACGGGAGCCACATCCACACTTGCCTCTCGTCTTCTTTATTCGTCTGTACTTCCTTCTTTCCTTCCTCTTTGACTCTTTTTGGTGAGACATCTGACTGAAGATAGGGACAGTTTAGCTCTAGTTGATGAAGAAACAACCTGAGGAGCTTAGACTTTACATCAGGACTCTCTCTCCAGACACAGACCTGCACACAGCTCCCACAAGCTCAGCTCAGATTGAGGCTAAGAGACGCCAGAGCAGGACTTGGCCTTGGATTCAAGGGAAACTTCTCTGGCAAGCTTTGTTGACTTGGGAAAAAGGAGCAAGAATATCTAAAAGATACCTCAAGCTCTGGGTAGTGGTGGCGCACGCCTTTAATCCCAGCACTTAGGAGGCAGAGGCAGGCAGATTTCTGAGTTTGAGGCCAGCCTGGTCTACCGAGTGAGTTCCAGCACAGCCAGAACTACACGGAGAAACCCTGTCTCGAAAAACCAAAAAAAAAAAAAAAAAAAAAGATACCTCAAACCCCACAGCTTGTCCGCTGAGGGAAATGAGGAAGCCTCCTCATGACTGGAAGCAACAGGGAAGCAAGCCACCACCATCAGCAGCTTAAGAGGGACATGCAGGCAGGAAGTGAGAAGGCCCCACCTAAAGGGAAGTGGGAAGCTTTCTGTGAGGACACAAGACAAATGCCAACCAAGTGTCAAATATCTGGGACCAAAGAGAGCACGGAACATCTGTGCAGAGATGCTTTTGCCACTACAATGACAACTCTACAATGTCAGGCTGAACACTAGCTTGTACCAAGTGAGTAAAATGAAGCGCTTTTCATAGATGCGCGTAGACTGGGAGCTCAGAGGTAGAGCACGTACCCAAGCCCAGCGGGTGTGTGCCCCTCAGCCCACTCCCCAGCATAATAAAAAGGATAACAATGTTTTTCAAGAAGTGCAAAATTTACCCAAGACAAAAAAACTCGAGATTAAATTTGCCTATAGCTCTGTGGGCCTATTCGTGGATGCTCTTCATCAGCTGTGTCAATCCTGAGGAATGTTCAGGAAGCCAGGTTCTGAGACCTCAGGGTAGCAATTGCTACACTGCTTTCCTCAGACTCCAGTTGACAAGAGCTCAGGTGTATCCTGGAAAGAAGCTTCGGCACAAACTAAGGACATGAAAAAGGATGGAGCTGACCATGTGGCAGACAGTATGCAGCACGGGGCTGACAAGCAATCTCACATGCACCTTATACACACAGGTAATAAAAAGCTAAAACTCTGTACCAGGTTAAGAAGTTACTGTAACTGCCCCTTGTGTCACCAGGCGTGGATGCAGACCTGTTAGCTTATGGCGCTCTCGGAATGTTCAATTATCCACTCAATGGCAGCCCACCCCTGCAACAACACAGAAGGACTTCAGTTCTTGCCACATGCAGGAGGGAACTGCTGTGGCAACGCTATAGCAACAATCTCCCTGAGCCATGGACAATGAGTTGGTTTGAATAAAAATGGCCCCCACAGGCCCATAGGGAGTGGTACTAACAGGAGGTATAACCCTATTGGAGTAGGTATGGCTTTGTTGGAAGAAGTGGGTTGTGGTTGTGGGCTTAGAGGTCTCAGAAGTTCAAGCCAGGCCAGATAAGCTTACTGTCTCTTCCAGCTACCTGCAAGTATAGACCTCTCAGGTACTCTCCAGCACCATGTCTGCCTGCATGCTGCCTTGCTTTCTGCCATGATGACAATGGACTATACCTCTGAACTGTAAGCCAGCCCCCATTAAGTGTTTTCCTTTATAAGTCCTGAGATGGTCATGGTGTCTCTTCTCAGCGATAGAAATCCTAACTAAAACAGTCTGCAGAAGCAAGCTATTCAAGCTCAGAAACATGATTGGATGTTTCCAATGTCTACACTTCTCTAATGAGTTAAAGAATGCATCAGCTTGAGTTATCCCAAGGTCAACACCCTCTTAGAATAACAGCCAGTCCACATCTGAGAGAGACCTAAGACATCCCAAAGTCCCAGAGCCAAAGCTGCCATGTGGAGACCAGAGAGACTGAGATGAACTTCAAAGCAATAGTAACCCTTTCTAGGACAGATGTCTTTCCCCTCAGAACCTGGCCAGCCCTTCTGTATCTCTATTTGAAATAGAACTGTGGGAAGTTCTATGGCATTAGAAGCTCAACTACAAAGATCCCATTCCTCAGGAGGACCCAAGGACCAGATATGCCCCACTTCATATGATGCACAGAGTGCATCAGGGCCCTGTCCTGAGGTGTGCACCTTCTTTGCATTGGAGGATATCGTGGTGGCCATGAGACTTTCCAGGTAGCTCCCCAAGCTGATCCCCTTCACAGTGATGACGGCTTCCTGAGTGAGCACAGTCCTGCAGAAGAGCAGAAGTAAGGGCTGACCAGTCCCCGGGAGGGAAGCTCCATCTACCCCTGCTGTTCAATGTGTCCATCCCAGGATGTGGTGACTCACTTTTCAGGGTTCTCTGGATGAGGTGTGTACACCAGCCTCTCATTCACTGACACCAGATTTGTGAGAGTGATCTTTAAAAACAAACATACACATTAAAAAAAAAAAAAAAACAAAACACCACTGGCTTTAGGTTCTAGTTTTCTTGTATTTTTTCCCAAACCATCTACCCTTCCAGCCCAGAATGAACACTATGAAAGCCAGAGAAAGGAAACACACAGACACACACACACACCTCTGCAGTAAGGACACCACTAGGCGACTCCTGATGATGATCGTAGACATCTACCTTCATCTGAGGCAGGACCTGCCTTCAAGGCACCCACACATTGCCATACCTATCAGCAGCTGTAGGACAGACAGTCCACTGTTGCTGTCCATGGCAACAGTAGCCAACTTTCCAGCCCTCAGAATCTCTGGATGGCTAGACATGCTAGACTCTGGGATCTACACAGAAGCTTCAGCAGCCTTGTCTCCAGCCCTACTTCCTGTCAGCAAACTAACTTACTGTTTGTATTTTCTATTAAAACCTACCTAGAGTCAGTGAGATAGCTCATCAGATAAAGGTACTTACCACGGAGGCCTAGAAACATGAGTTCGATTCTTAGAACCCACATAAATGAAGGAGAGAACTGACTCCATAATGCTGTCTTCTGACCTCCAATGCATTCAATGGCATGTTCACGTAAAAAAAAAATTAAAAGTTTTTTTTTAAAAAAAAACTCTAAAAAATGACTCTAGACTATCACGGTGAGCAGAGTTCTCTATGGCACTATGACGTTACATTTGGATGACAGCTACAAATACACATGGCTAGTGAATGCCCAGGATGCAGACTGAAGAATGGCACCAGGGAACCAGGAATGTCAACACACCAGCTGTCTCTTCAAAGAGAGAGATGCATAACCTGTTATCTGCCTAGAAGGCTGGGAGCCGACATAGTTAATAGCCTGGTGACTTTCGTGCAGAGACCGCACAGGATCCTCCTCCTCATCTTGAGCTGGTTTTTCTCAATCTACTAGAACCTATCTTTATGGAAGATGTCACTTGTACTTTACAGAGATCCGGTGTCTTCAGTTTTGTTGTGCATGAGACACTGAGTTCATTATCACCAGGAAACTTTTCACCAAATTGTATATGCCTTAAATAAACTACCTGGAGTCAGACTCTCAAAGTTTGAACCAATACCAGCTACTGAGCCCTGTTGAACCAAACTGCCTTCTGCCTCCCATGGACTATCACTACTGGCTGTAGTATGCCAGACACCCCACTCTCCACCACTGTGACTCAGGACAGACTCTGGGTTTGAGCGTGTCTGTTGTTTTATCTAACTGTTCACACTTTGTGAAAATTGTGTACACTTTGGTCTCATATATGACAATTGAACACATATATGGTTACCATAATGTCTCAATGTATATATACACTGTATAACATTCAAATCAGGGTAAGTAGTGGCTAATCCTACTACTAGGAAGATCTCTGAGAGTTCCGGGCCAGCCTGTCTACATACTTAGACCCTGTATCAAAATAAATAAATGTAAAAAATCCGGGTAAACATTTCTGTTTCCTCAAATATTTATATCTGTGTGGTGGGGACATTCTAAATATTTTTCTTCCTAGTTCTTTTAATATATTATATATAGTTATATGCATATAACTATATAACTACACACACACACACACACACACACAGTTAGCTGGGCATGGTGACACACATCTGAAGGATATCTGTGAGTTCCAAGTCAGCCTGGTCTTAGGCCAGCTGGAGCTATATAGTGAGAGCCTGTATTATTATTAATACTATTATTATTTATAAAATACATATGTCGTTATCTATAGCCACCACCCAGATTCAGTTTTCTCATTTAACTAGTTATTGCCTTTCTCTTTCTTTCTTTCTTTCTTTCTTTCTTTCTTTCTTTCTTTCTTTCTTTCTCTCTCTCTCTCTCTCTCTCTCTCTCTCTCTCTCTCTTTCTTTTTATTTATTTACATGGTCTTATTTATTTATTTAGAGACATGGTCTTACTGTGTAGCTCTGTCTGTCCTGGAACTCACTGTGTAGATCAAGCTGGCCTCAAACTCACAGAGGTCCACCTGACGCACACACTGTCACACCTGACCTATTGCCTTTTTCTTTATGATGATTATATTAGAATAAAAAGGTCAGAAAAAAGTAGGTGTGGTATCCTGAGCCTGTAGCCTCAGCTCTCCGCAGGCAGGATTACAGAAAATTTAAGACTAGCTTAGGCTATCCAGCGAGTTCTAGGCTGAACAGAGGGTACAGTAAGACCTCCATCTCAAAACAAAACAAAGATAAATACCACTAAATAAATGTAACCCTCCTCCTAAAAACAAATGCTCTCAGAGCGAGCAAAAGGCAATCTGCAAGTACAGTTTAAGGGAGGCATTACGCACCATCAGGGAGCAACATTAAGCACCTTCTCATCTTAGACCACTGCTTACATTGGTGGAACACAGCTCCATTTTCCTGGCAGCCGGATCCACGACAGAGCGCTCTTTGATGTACGTCAAGGTCCTGTTGGCTCCCAAAATCTAAGAGACAAAAGAGTAGAGCGACATGCTAAGGTCCAGTTACACATTTCTTTACAGCAAATGCTCTATATCTGTGGATTCAGTAAGGGCAGAGAGTTCAAACCCTCAGCAGATATTAGAAAACAGAGCTAAGAGTATTAACACATGACAGTAACAAATGTTTCGACAAAAATGAAATCAGGGATCTTGAAGAAAGAGGCTCCTCTACTGACAGACTTTTGAAGGCAAGAACCAGCCTGCAGGGCTAGTTATCACATCCTTCATAGAATCTAGGAGTGGCAAAGGAGCCACAAGGAGACCCTGGGGCTATGCAAGGACCTGCGCTTGGAGTAGGGGGAAGGTTAGGGTGATGCCTTTTGTAAACATTCTTACAGTTCTCCACCCCCATGTTTGGCTCTAAAAGTGAGTACAGACTGAGCTATGTCTACCTGAAGCTCGCATGTAAAAGGTATAACTGCAGCACCACAAAATGTGGGATCCCGGACCTTCACATGTGTCACTGAAGAAAGGTCACCCAGGTCACCTAATCTAGAGTGACTAGAGTCCTCCCCAGACAACCGAATAAGATCCATGGCCAGTCTAAGGAGAAGGAGGTGAGGGGCTGCAGGAACCCACTCTGCCCAGCCATTTGTGGCATCCCTCAGCAATAAGTGCCCGCGGCCACACAGGGAATTCTCACCGCACGCACGAGGCCAGGCAGCCCCCATTCTGTGCTGAGCAGGCGCAGACTGTGCAGGCGCCCACAGCCATCCACACTGCGCTCCAGCACATCCACTCCCACCACGCATGGGTTCATCGGGTTAGGGTACTTCCTCATGGCCGCCTTGATCACGGTGTCCCAAGGATGGCTGGCAAGAGAACACAATCAGCATTGGAAGTGGCCCTGAGGCTATGGCTCCTGTGTTTATTCCAGCCAGGCTGCCCTGGGTGTCTCCTGGGGGGCGAGGGGGGGGGGGGGTTGGGGGGTGGGAAACAGGTTTGTGCTGAGGCTACACAGAGCCATCAAGCTTAGTTGATCGCTGGCTTTCCTGTCTTGGTCCTCCTCCAGCCCACAGGAGGCAGAAACCTTTTGTGAGCACTTCTCAGCAATTAGAGTGTCTCCCTGCCTTCGCTTCGCTGGAAACTGGCTGCGGTCCTTAATTCAGGATGACCCTGACTTCCAGGGTCCTTCCAGGGCTTATGGTTCTACCAGACTGCCTGGCTATCCGGTAGAATCCCAAAAGTCATTTTAAGGATGTCCCAAGAACTCCCCAAGGTTTCCCTTGCAGAGTCACACTTATCTAAGTCAGAGCTCAGTGCTAAGCTAATTCATCTCTTGCTCTCAGAGATGCCAAAGCCTCAGGCAACAGCCCACTACTGACCAGAGCCATGCCCTTGGTTAGGCTGGACCTAACCTCAGACCTCAGATCCTGTAGGTTGGATCTAACCTCAGACCTCAGACCCTGTAGGTTGGACCTAACCTCAGACCTCAGACCCCTGTGATGGAGCCAAATTAAAGGAGCCTCCCTTCCAGAAGTTCAACATGGGCCTTCCTCCATTGCTGAGAACTACTGTCAAGTCAGCTAACCTTCCCTCCCTTCCTGATATGCTGGCTGTCCTGGAAGTCTCTCCAGCAAAGAGAAGTGTATCGCCAGGACGCCATTGTTTCTTTTTATAATTCAGACTCAAATGATAAACACCTTGTTTAAATATACATACAGAAAAAAAAAACCACATTAGTTATAGTAGATATATGTGGGTTTTGTTTTGTTGTTGGTTTTTTGGTTTTTGGACAGGATTTCTCTGTGTAGTCCTGACTGTCCTGGACCTTCCTCTGTAGACCAGGCTGGCCTCGAACTTAGAGATCTGCCTGCCTCTGCCTCCCGAGTGCTGGGATTAAAGGTATGCACCACCACTGCCTGGCTGCGTTGTTTTATTTGCATGTTTGTATGTGCACCCACGTGTGCTCACGGAGGCTAAGAGAGTATCGGATCCCCTGGAACTGGAGTTATCTGCTGAGAGCAGTCTCTAAAGCTATCTCTAAAGGACAAAACCCAGCTGGCTGTGTTGACACATGCCTTTAATCCCATCAGGGAGAAAGAGGCAGACAGAACAGATCTGAATCTGAGGCTAACCTGGTCTATAGAGCAAGTGCTAAACAGCCAGGACTACACAGAGAAACCATGTTTCAAAAAACAAACAAAAAAATTAAGTGGCAAAGTCTAGGCACAAAGTCCATAATTGCACCCACTGGCTGAAGCAAACACTAATATACAGCCAGCATGCAAACCTGGTAACATTAGGTATCGAGAATGGCATGGCTGGCTGAAGGCACCTCAGCCGTTCATGGGAGCGCCTGCTGGCTCATTTTTAGCTGCAAGGGCACAAAGCTCTCTCTGGCAGATGAGGAGTTGAATGGAGACCACTCTTTAAGAGGCAAAGTCCCAGCTACACTGAGACATGGCGTGACTGTCCTATCTCAAAGGAAGGGAGGCCTCTGCTGACACCCACTCCTGAATGGTCCCAAGCATCCATGGCAAGGTCTGCCTGGAGCAACAAAGAGCAGATAGGAGGACTAACTGTGGCTTCCATGCTGTATTAGAGTTCTCTAAAGGAAGAGAATGGGGGGTGTGTGTGTATGAATTGTTTGATTATATATATTAAAGAGGATCTGTTAGATTAGCTTACATGGTACTGTCTAGGTAGCCCCCACAGTGGCGGTCTCACATTGGAAAGGCTGAGAATCTGATACCTGCTCAACCCATGGGGCTAATCCCAGTAGTCCCAATCTGGTGTTGAAGGCCTGGAGGACTACTAGAGAGCTGCTGGTCTTCAGGCTGTGTTGGAATCCTGAAGAACTGGTCCTAATGTCTAAAGTCCATAGAGGGATGCCATAGCAACAGGAAGGATAGACTTGCCGGCAGGAGTAAGAGCAAGCAGAGAATGCAAAGCTTCCCTCTTTCACATCCTTTGATCTGAGTGACCATCAGAAGGTGCTTCTCACACTTAGGGTGTGTCTTCCCGCTTCAAGTAATCTGGTCAAGAAAGTCCCTCGCAGGAGTGTCCAGCAACTTACACTTCAGTTGATCCGAGGTCCAGTAAAGTCAGCAATGAAGACTCATCACACCCTAAGGAGTGAGAGTGTCTAAGGGAGAACCCCAGTCAACAGCAAGGTGATAGAAACCACTGTCCAAGATCTGCCTAAATCAGCCAGGCGGTGGTGGCACAGGCCTTTGATCCCAGCACCTGGGAGGCAGAGGCAGGCAGATCTCTGTGGGTTCAAGGCCAGCCTGGTCTACAGAGCAAGTTCCATTACAGCCAAGACTACAAAAGAGAAGGACTGTCTTGAAAAAACAAAACAAAAACCAAACAAAACATTAAAAAAAAAAAAGATTTGCCTACAGCATTCAGTGAAAATGCCAGGGTGGGCATACATGGGGAACCACTTACCCTGTAAGGGGAACAGTTAGCCTAGGAGACCCACCATGGATCCAGGAGTCTGCTCTTTCCACTTTTGCTTATTTCTAAAAGCTGTCGGTTTGGTTGTTAAGAGGCAGTCACAGGACCAAAAGCTCAACTCAATCCTACCTCCAGAGGATTCTACAGAGCGGGCCACATCCTGGGGGCTCTGGACCTGGTTGTCCCAGTGTGACTGGGACATTACTAGCCCTCAGTACACAAACATTGACACTGATGACTTAAAGCAATAGGGGAAAGTGCTAGACTTTCCCAGCAACGCAGGCCAGGCTCCAAACCACAGTCTGGTCACACTGCTCACACACGCACTTAGGGAAACAACTCAGGATTCTCTAAGGAGTATGTGATGAAATGGTAAAGTGGTTAATCTGATCATCACTTGACCCCTGAGGACTCTTCTCTTTGACAATCTGCAAGAGAACAGGAAGCGTGCCAGAAATCTCTCTGCAGGACAAGCCGAACTCGGGGCTGCCCCGAGTCTATCAGGCAGCTGTTGTGTTGAGAGCACGCACAACAAGCTACCTCTCAACGCCCCCTGCTTGCCCTTAAAAGAACAATGCACACACTGTTCGCTCTCTGGGAAGTTAAGGGAGTAAGCCTGTCACTTTAAGGCAAACATCTTTAGTGTTTTTTGCCCAAAGAGAAAACCTGAGCTTCTGAATGAAAGCTGAAACTTTAGGAAACTTGTATCCCTTGCCATAGAATAACTGGTCCATACCACACACATCCCTCAGGAGGGCTACACTGCTTTTTGGTCAGGCTGTTCTCGTCACAGCAACAGAAACCCTAAGGACAGACATATTTATGTTTTACAACTTATCTGTGTGATGCTGGACTCTACCCATACACCTCAACCAAGACTATAAATTACAAAATACCAGATGCATAAGTAGATAAGAAAATCAAACTACAGAAAAACAGAAATCATGGATACTATTTTTTAAGTACCGGAGTCTCCCAATTTCTCCAAAATTCAGTTAAGTTTCTGATTCTTTTTTTATTGTTGATAGACATTTTTTTATTGTTGACAGAGGGTCTTATATATGCTCAGCTGACCTTGAACTCCTGATTTTCCTGCCTCTGCCTCCCAACTGCTGGGACTATAGGCATGTACCACTCTGCCAAGTTAATGGGGGACTGAACCCAGGATTCATACATTCAAGGCAAATATCTCTCATCCTTATCCCAGTTTGTATAGTAGTATAGGCTTAAAACCAGGCACGGTGCCGCATGCCCTGTCATCTGAGCACTCAGGAAACGGACATAGAAGGATCAGAAATTCAAAGTCATCCTTAGCTCCATAGTAAGGCCATCCTGGGCTACGTGAAACCTTGTGTCCAAAAACAAAAGGGAGAGGGGGCTATTATTGTTTATTGCAATGAATTAATACTTTACATTTTCAATTACAATTCCTAATGGTAATATACAGTTGGTTGGCTGTTTTTTAAGGTAGGGTCTCTGTATGCCTCAAGACTCTCACTCCTAAATCCTGGGGTTACAGTCTGTGCCGGTATCCCTAGCTCTGTGATATAGTAACTAATATAAGATACAATCAGCATAAACAAAACTGAGAGCCTCACTATCTCCAAGATTCAGTCCAGGGTCGCTTGTCTCTGAGATGAGGCAGAACACAAGGACAAAGGTCATGGGGTGCAGAGGAACAGCTCACCTCAAGACAGAGAGAGCAGAAAGGAGTAAGAGAAAGGGTAAGAGACATGTCCCTTCAATGGCACACCTCAGGTGACTTCCCTTCAACAAGGTCCCAACTTACATGGGTCCACCATTTCCCATTTTCAATGTATTAAATCAACGTTGGGTCACAGACCTCATGACCTCATCTCCTATGGCAGTGGTTCTCCACCTGTGGGCCACGACCTCTTTGGGGTCACACATCAGATGTCCTGCATATCAGATATTTACATTATGATTCATAACAGTAGCAAAATTACAGTTATGAAGTAGCAAAGAAAATGATTTTATGGCTGGAGGTCACAACATGAGGAACTATATTAAAGGGTCACAGTATTAGGAAGACTGGGAGCCACTGTATTGGAAAAGTTCTTGCAAACATACCCAGAGGCATGCCTTACTAATCTCCAGGTGTCTCTCAACCCACAATAACGGCCAGCATTGGCCATCACAGGTCATAAAAGTATTGAACAAGCACAAGTGTCCTTTCGATAAGGTAGGGCAAATTATAACATTCATACAATAGGCGATTATATAGCTAGTATAATCAAGCTGTATGTATATCAACTTATATCCATACATATGTATCAGCTTAGTTAAGAGCTCCAAAACACACTATTGGAAGAAAAAGAAACTGTCAAAAGATCCTTGTGAGATGGTGTCAATGACCCCTAATTGGGAAAAACAAACCACATTATGTGGATTTATACATAAACAGACATATATGTGATGGTGTGGATTCTGGCATGTTTACCACATGTCAGCATGTTTACCATCTCAGCTGCCACTGCTGAAAAGAACAAGAGACAAAATTGAAGAGAAGGGAAAGTGGACATTTTCTGCCTCTCTGAAAGGTTAATTTCTTTTTCCAGCTCCTTACTAGAAAGCAAGCTAGCTGTAGGTCCATCTTCTCAAGCTCTACTGCCCTGAGTGGATGCTGACGGCCTCTATGGAGGCCCTTACTCCAGAAGGGCATCTGGTCTCCCTGTGAGCTGCTCCCTATGAACAGAGCCAGGGGCAGGCACTGACAGGGTACCTGGGACACAAAACAATGAACTAGTACATGCTACCACGTGTGTGAGCCTCAAAAATGATGATGATGATCCTTTCCAAACCAAACCAGACACAGAATACCACATATGATATTGACTATTTACATAAAATATCCAGGAGAAAAATCTACAGAAATGGATCTGTGGTTTCCTGGGGCAGGAACGGGGAGGGAGTACATCTCCCACATAAAGTTCAGTATCTCTTTACAAGATAACAGAAATGTCCTAAAGCTAGATAGATCACCATGGTGATGGCTGCACAATTTGCAAAAAAAAAAAATAAAAAGAAATAAAAACACACAAAATTTCTGTAACTATACTAAAAATTATTATTATTATTATTTGATTTTTTCGAGACAGGGTTTCTCTGTGTAGCCCTGGCTGTCCTGGAACTCACTCTGTAGACCAGGCTGGACTCGAACTCAGAAATTCACCTGTCTCTGCCTCCCAAGTGCTAGGATTAAAGGCGTGCGCCACCACCGCCCGGCCTGAATTATATATTTAAATTTTCCTCATGTTCTCTTTTCACATGTGGTGTGCATGAGGGTGAGTGCTGTGCACAGGAGCATGGGGGTGTGCATGCTCGTGTGCGTGGGTGTGCTTGTGGAGGCCTGAGACTGATGCAGAGATCCTGTTATACACTTTTTCACTCAAGCAGGGTAGTCCTGCCAGCCAGCTTACCCCAGGCATCCCCATCTTTACCCTACCAAGCTAGAATCACAGGCCAGCCGCTCCAATCAGATTTACACGGATTCTGGGGACCTGAACCTCAGTCCCCACACTCACATGGCAAGGACTTTAACCAGTGAGCCATCTCCCCAGTCCAGAACTGTAGAATACGTTTGTAAATGGACGACTCGGGGCCAACAAGAAGGCTGCTAAAGATGCTGCTGTCAAACCTCGGAGTCTGAGTTGGATTTCCAGATCCACATGGTAGGAGTTGAGAACCGACTCCCCCATGTTATCTTGACTGCAGCTTGCACAATGTGGCTCGTGTTCACACACACACACACACACACACACACACAGTAATTAATTAAATGTAATTTAAAAAATATTAAAAAGAGCCAACCTTTGTGACACATAGCTTTAATCCCAGCACTGGGGAAGCAGAGGCAAGTAGATCTCTGTGAGCTTGAGGCCATCCTGGTCTACACAGCAAGCTCCAGGCCAGCTAATGCCACATAGTGAAACCCTATCTCAAAAAAAAAAAGAAAAAAGAAAAATAGCAGGGCAGTGGTGGCGCATGCCTTTAATCCCAGCACTTGGGAGGCAAAGGCAGGCGGCTTTCTGAGTTCGAGGCCAGCCTGGTCTACAGAGTGAGTTCCAGGACAGCCAGGGCTATACAGAGAAACCGTCTCAAAAAACAAAAACAAAAAAGAAATAGATATCTTTTATAAATTGTATTATCTGAATTAAAAGTAGGTTGTATATATGCAAATGCTTTGAAAACCATGAAAATGTTATGCAAAGATAAATGTTATAACATGAGCATTTTCTGTCAGAAAACCCAAGTATTCATAAGACTGGTTACAGTGTCTTCCAAGCCAGTCTGTGATTAAGTGGCAAAAAGTGGGACTGTGCCTGGAGAGATGGCTCAGCAGTTATGAGTGAGCAAGTCCTTGTCTTTTAGAGGACCTGAGCCAGGCAGTGGTGACACATGCCTTTAGTCCCAGCACTTGGGAGGCAGAGGCAGGCGGATTTCTGAGTTCGAGGCCAGCCTGGTCTACAGAGTGAGTTCCAGGACAGCCAGGGCTACAAAGAGAAACCCTGCTTCGGAAAAAAAAAAAAAAAGGAAAAAGAAAAATAATCTCCCCAAAACACACATACATTAAAATGAGTGGTAACACATTACAGATTACAAAATGTAAATAATAAGGATTTTTTTAAAAAAAGAACGGAAGCTGCATAAATGGTCAAAATTGTGAGCAGTGATTTTCCAGTGGCAGTCAACACTTCAGGACCCTTAGGGCTACTCTCAGCGGGTCCAAAGTCTGGCATCTCTGTATGACTTTCTACCCGACTTTGCATCTAGACGGTACAAATTACATCTAAATCTTGGGGAAACCTTCAGAAAGCCTGCCAACTTTAACAAAAATTTACATACCACCCGTTTAAGTTTCCTCATTTAAAAAGAGTTTTTTTTCTAGAAGCGGATGCTATAGCTCTGCGATGGAACACTTTTCTAGCAAGCTCGAAACACTGGGTCCGGACCCAGCACTATCGAAATATAAAAATGAAGAGGCCAGAAGTTCTGAACCCAGGTGATCAATTTTTATTAAAACTTTACACTTTAAAAGACAAGGGACGACAATTCTGTTTCATGCAGTCTCTCCACATCCACCCCCGCTTGGAACGAAAAGCATCTCTAATCGGGATCAGAAAGTCTCAAAAAAAATCCTTTTTTCTTTGAAGAAGATATCAAAACACTCGATGACAAGGTGGAAGGCGCCCTACGGGTCAGGGGAGAACTCGAGGCAGTTCGCGGTGTCCCTAGTGGCTTGGAGGCGTCCGTGTGCACTTGTATTCAGGACCAAACGCCCCAAACGCCTCCTCACGTCTAGATTTCTCCCGAGCCCAAGCCCCTCGGGCACCGCTGGCCGCAGGCCGCTGCCCTACTCCGGATGGATCGCGACGCCCCGCGGCGCAGCTCGCAGCCAGCACAAACCGGCTGAGGAGGCCTCGCCAAGCATCCGCCGCCACGCTCCCGGCCTCAGCGTGATCCCGGCCCCGGCATGATGCCGGCCCCGGAGCCCCTGCCCGTCCCGTATCCCCGCCCTTCCCCGAGGCCGCACGGCTCTGGCCACGTCCGCGCATTTCCCAGCGCAGCCCTGGGCTGGCTCACCCGAACACGTGCTCCGAGCTCCAGATCTTCATCGCCGCAGCCGCAGGCCCAGGGCGCGGGCTCGGCGCTCTGCGGGATGCTGCGCGGCGCCGTGGGGGCGGGGCGCCGGCTGTACCGCCTCCTGCGTCACGTGGCCCGGGCTGCGGCGGCTAAAAATAGGGAGGTGGGAGGCGAGTGGTACCCAGCGCCGCGCCGCGCCGCGCTGCGCAGGGACTTGCGCGAGTGCGCAGCTTCAAACGGCAGCTCTGAGCTCTTCGAAGCTGTCCAAACCCTGCCCGTGCCCTTTCCAACCACACGCGAACGTCGTGGACAAACTAGAACTGCCAATTCAAAATAAACAGTCTGGATATTGAATAAGCTTAAAACCCCAATGCTATCGATGCGCATCACAGGCAACCCAGTAGAGAGACTACAAAGACTGAGCCCTCACCGCTAAGAAACAGAAGTAGCCTTCTGCAAATGCTTTTTACGTGAACAATATGTGGTCCTGCCCCAAAGGGCTTGAGGACAAAGGCAGACTTTGTCCTAAAGTTATTAGTAACTGGAGCGTTGCTCCAACGGAGCTAATTGCCTTTATTTCTGTAGACATGGAAACAGTTCTCGCCTCGGGGGAAGTAAAATCCAGTTTATTTTTGAGCCAAATATGACTGATCATGATCCAGGAACTTCCCTGAAAGGCATGTCCCACTCCGGATGCCGTTACTTATGTGAACCTGTTACAGCACAAAGAAAATCACAAATCGTGGCATTTACCAAGTAAGTTAGCAGGGACTAGGGCAACGGAAACTCCGCTATAGGCCTCTTAGCATTTGGACTGGTAAAGAGTCAGTGGTCTGCTATGAGGTTTACTGTAACGGTTCTGATAGGCAAGGATATTTGTTCGGATACATGAGTGTGCAATTAATCGTCTTCAGAGGGACTGAAAACCGGGCTGCTGGGTAGGTATGGCAGCCCACATTTAATCTAAACTCACTGAAGGTAGAGACACGGAATCTAGCAACCAAGATGGCTAGCTAGACTAAGAAGCTACCGTTTAGCAAGAGATTCCGTACATATATTAAGTACCTGCACACACACCATGTGTGCCCACACACATGCAAATATGAGCATAAGCACTACACACAAATACAAACAAAAGAGAAAAATTTTAAAAGGACTAAGAAAAGCTCTAGATAATTTGGCTCTAGTCTGCAACATTTTAACTCCCCATAAGCACTAAATTCAGTCTGTTAGCCTTGGAGTCTTTAACAAGGTCTGTCTTTTCTTTTTCCTGGGAACTTCAGAGAAATATATTGATCATAACTTGGGCTGGTGTGGTGGCTCATGTTTATAATCCCAGCACTTGGTATGATAGAAAAAGATGAGGAATTAGAGGCCAGGCTGGTCAACATAGCAAGTGTTAAATACAAAGTAAGACATGCCAGACCTGGTAAGACACTGTATAAACTGAGCTTAGCTGTGCATACCTGGGGCATCTTCAGTTTGAGGGCTTGGCTGCAGGAAACACAAATAAAAAAAAAAAGAGTAAAAGGAGGTTGGGAATATAGCTTATCAGTAAAGCAGTTACATAGAATGAGCAACGGTCATGGCTCAATCCCCAGCATAGGCAACAAATATCAGAAATTCACCTCTTTCAGATAAGAGGTATATTTGCAAACTGAAATCTCATGGCCTCTGAAGTTATACTCTGATCCTAGGGGGAAAAAAGGATGCCGTCTTCCTTGATGTCACCATTTCAAAGGGATGGCTTCAAATTCTTTGAGGAAGACTAATCCTGATGAGTTAAAACTGGAAAAGGCCTTATTTAACTCCCTGCAAACATGTGCATACATCTCAAGAAGAGAAGGCCTCTGCAGCCAGGTGTGGCTGCTCACACAGGTTATCCCTCAGATTCAGAGGCAGGTTAAAATCAGGAGTCTAAACTGAGACTACCCTTAGGGTGGGCAGACAGCTCAGTGGTTAAAAACATTTTCCACGGCTGGGCGGTGGTGGTGCATGCCTTTGATCCCAGCACTTGGGAGGCAGAGGCAGGCGGATTTCTGAGTTCGAGGCCAGCCTGGTCTACAGAATGAGTTCCAGGACAGAGAAACCCTGTCTCGAAAAAAAAAAAAAAAAAAACCCATTTTCCACATAAAACCTGACAACTTAAATTTGGTCCTTACAGTGGAAGGAGAGAATGAACTCATGAAAGACGTCCTCTGAGCTCACTCATGCCACAGCAAACCTGCACTCATATACTCACAATTAAAATAAAAACAGCTGGGCATAGAGGCAGGCAGCCACATCTCAATATTTAGGAGGAGGATCAGGAATTCAAGTCAACCTAAGCTATATAGTGAGTTCAAGGCCAGCCTGGGATACAAGAGACACTGACTATAATGAGGGCAGTGGTGCAATTACAAGTTTTCTAAAATAACCCCCCTAAGAAAGATAAAATGACAAGTGGGGAAGGGAGGGAGAAAAGGGAGAGTCTTCCCTTCGTTAACATGGGACATGCATTATTTGGTGAAACGGGGCTTAAGGTGTGGTTGTTTCTTCACGTTCATCTCTTTAATTCTCAGATTATCCCGTTTTACAGAGGGAGTTCAAGTCCGTTTGAATCCGACCCACAAGCTCTACACCAGACCACATCTCAGCAAGGACAGCTGTGGTGTAATCTTCCCAATTTACAACTACCAAGACCAGAGACTTCATCTGACGGGAAAGGGAACCAGGGGGTCTATCTCTTTGTTTTTGTTTCGAGGCAGAATCTCACTATTTGTGGCTTCAAACTAGCAATTCTCTTTCCTCTGCTTCCCAAGTGTTGGGAACAGGAGTGAACCACCACACTGGCTCTTGTTTAATTTTGATGACTTATCTATTCCACGGTTCATGTAATGGGTCCCTGAAGCGCCTCTCATCCAGCCCACCCACAGCTGCTCCACCCTGTGTCTTGCTTCACAGTGACCCTCTGTATGGTGCTAATGGCAGCACACTGTCCTGGTATCTCACTGGGTAGCGAGAATGCCTCTTTTCTCTCAGCACTCTCCCTGAAAGCATGTCCACTGACTCCTAAGCCTGCATCTGTGAGCTGGCTAGTTTTATGTCAACAGGACACAGGCTAGCATCACTGGAGAGGAGGGAGCCTCAGCTGAGAAAATGTTTCCAGAAGATGGGACATTCCATAATAATGTAGAACATTTTCATTAGTCTTGAATGGTGAAGGGCCCAGCCCCCAGCCCATTATGGGTGGGGCCTGGCCTGGTGGTCCTGGTTCTTTAAGAAAGCAGGTTTAGCAGGCCAGGAGGAAGCAATCCAGTAAACTGCGCCCCTCCATGGGCTCTGCATCAGTTCCTGCCTCCAGGTTCCTGCCCGGTTTGAGTTCCTGTCCTGATTTCCTTCAATGATGAATAGTAAGTGTAAGCAAATAAACCCTTTCCTCCCCAAGTTGCTTTCAGAAGGTCATGGTGCTTGATCACAGCGATAGAAACCCTGCCTGGGACATCTCCACGTCACTTTTTCATCAAACTTTAGTCTCATGCCAGCAGCCTGGGTGCCTACGAAGTCCCACAGCAGGCTCCATGCACCATACCCAGGGTCTCCAAGCAAGAGAGACCATTAGTCTGTCATATCCCTTAAAGCCAGTGAGCCACAGTCTTCTGAACTCTACCCTTACACAGGGTGCTAACCCTCTCCTCTATCCCCATCCTGCAGGAGGCAGCCAGTCTTCGGCTAAGGTTGGACCCCCTTCATGAGTTACTTTTCTCTAAGCCTTAGGGCCTTTATCCAAGAAAGGAGCCAGCTGGCAGTAGCTACCCCAAGGGTAGGGGAGACTGGAATGAAACTGTAAGGCTAGCTTCCGCAGGGTGACTTGACAGCTGTCATTGCTATCCTCTGACCTGCACCCTAGCCCCACCCACTTCCTCCTGCTGACTGGTCTCTGACTCCCATCAGCCTGCCTGAATACAAGGTGCCACCCCATGCCCAACAGCTGTGACTTGTCCTTCAGGAACTGTCTCGTGCCTAGGCAGGCATGCCCTACAGACCTCAGGGCTGCCTTTGGGTGCCCCTCCCACACTCCCAATACTAGGAAGTCCTCCTGCACCTTTGGCTTTATTCAACAAACTCCTTGGCTGCCGGACTTGATGGTCTGTCTCTCCTACCAGACTCACACTGAGTTGGGCTGGTTTTCAGGCCTGCTCAAAGGCCTCTTGAGTGGGTATTACTGGAGCAAGATTCAGAAATTATCCTTTTTTTTTTAAATGATTGTCCTGAGCCATTAAAATGTTGGCTAAAGTTTAAAAAGTGAGTCTCAACCTCTCTGAGCTCTCCAAGGACAGGACCTGAGCCTCATTTGAGCTCTCCAAGGACAGGACCTGAACACTGTTTGAGCTCTCCAAGGACAGGACCTGAACCCCGTTTGCTGTGCACACAGGACCTAACCAAGTCTCTGGCAAACAGGCGGTATTTGCCAATTGCTTGTTTAGTGAGTCAAGAATCATTCCTAGGGAGTGATAAGGCCAAGAGTGGCCTGGCCCTGGGTGACAAGCACACCACTTAGGATAACTCCCAGCAGCCAGCTAGTGTAGTGTTTCCAGCCCTGTTCAACTCTACTGACCCCCTGGGGGAAACCTACAGGCATGTCCAGCAGTGGTCCTGTGCACATGCTGTTTCAGACAGGTTTATACTTTGTGGTACAGGCTGGTCTCACACTCCTGATCCTCCTGCCTCAGCTTCCCAGTGCTGGAATTATCATAGTCAGTGTGTGTGTGTGTGTGTGTGTGTGTGTGTGTGTGTGTCTGTCTGTCTGTCTGTCTGTGTTGTGTTGTGTTGGAGATGAAACCCAAGGGATTAAGTATACCCTCTATCTACCACTGAGATATATTCTCCCATTCTTTAAATGTCTATTTTTGGCCAGGCATGGTAGTGCACTCTTTTAATTCTCTCTCTTTCCTAGCAGGGTTTCATTGAGACCTGAGCTAACATTAAGATAGATAGATAGATAGATAGATAGATAGATAGATAGATAGATCAAGCTGGTCTTGATCTTCCTGCCTCTACCTCCCAAGTGTCAGAATTTTTTGTTTTGTATTAT